GCGCAGGGGGCAACCGTTCCGAAGGTGACGGGTGTCTACACAGACAAAACACCGTCGTATATTTGTGTGCTGCTCGGCAGCTCGGAGCTCTGCTCTCTCGGCCTCAGCATAGCTGAGATTCATGGGCACAGACCCGCTCGACGAGCTGTTGGAGTGTGTATTCCAACCAAGTCGTGCCGATCTGAAATTGAGCTCGGCATCTAATGCCACATTCACCGCCTCTTCAAATGAAGATAAATCCACACGGAAGACTTCCATTCTGGTCACGCCAGTGCGGTGGTCCTCCATGAAGCCGGTCACTGTGACCGCCTCCGGAAGTTGATCTGCTGTCATCCCGGCAATGGAGTTCGCATCTCTTGGACAATGTCCACCAATTTCTTGTTGCCCTGTCGGGCGGCAAGGAAACACGGTCGCACGTGATGTGCCTGATTAGGCGGCGAGAACACTCGTGAGAGCTGCAATTTCAGATCCGCCCAGGAGGGAAACGCAGCTTCGACGGAAGTGCCGCACGTCATTGCCCATTCTCGCGCTCGACCACCGAGCTTTGAGATGACTAGTGCCACGCGCTGTTGTTCGGTCTGGAGCATGGCGGATGCGATGGCCATCTCGGCCTCTCTCCTCAGTAGCAGGAGATCCGCTCCGTCCTTCCCCTCGAAGAACTTAACGCTCACCATCAGCGGCCTAGGGCAGGGAGAATCATCAGTTACTGACGGTGGCTTCATAGACGCAAATGACGCAGACATCTCCTGCTGCAGGTGCTCTAGCAGCGCTTTTTTGTGATCGAAAACGCCTCTAGACGCGCACCGATTGCCTCGGGGCCTTGCGTCGCATGGTGTTGCACGCCCTCAGGGCCAAGCAAGGACATCAGCTTGTTAAGCCCGTCCTGCATGCCCTGAGGCAAAGAGGAAAATTGTTCAATCCTCACAGAGGATCAGTCCAAACGACTCAGGTGTGGATTGACTACAAGTGTTACCAAATGCAGCGGGGCTGCCGTAGATTTGCGCTATAAGGAAGCGTTAGTTAGGTCACCGACCTTTCGTTCTATACTTAGAACAAGTACGAGTTAAGCCAATCGCAATCCGCTCACCCCAAAAGTAATTATTGCCTTAACCCAAGGCTTTTTGACTCTTCTGTTTAAATCCAAAACTGTCT